TTCTTGATATATCTGGATGAGATACCAGACGTATCTGGAGAGCGAGCCATTTCGAAACCCACATTTCTCGGACAAGCCACTCTTTCTGGATTGCTTCCATACACATCACTTTGAAGTATCGTTTTATAATAAAGCAGTGACTGTAGTAATACAAATGACTTTGTCAATCAATTCTTGATTGTCAATTTATCTAAAGTGATGAGACGGGGATCGAATCTTGAAACTTTGTCAGCCTTAATTGGCTATTTGTTGTCTTGTCAGGTTTAGACTGATCGAAGATTACTTGTGCTTAGTGTAAAGTTTTATTGAAAGTTAAAAACTTATATCCGTAACATAAGAAATAAATGAATAAACTACCATAGGGGCTAGTTATTTGCAATATATCAATGACAAATGATGATTACATGCCGTATTTATTAGTATTTCATACTTGAGTGGGTTTGGGGTAGATATCACCCGGGAATATATATCATATCTGAGGAGCGGGCAGGATATATTGTATATGTCCCGCTCTAGGCCAAATGCGGGCAGATATAATATATCCATCCCGCTTCCGGGAATTTTTTCAAAAGTTTAAAAGAGTTTAAAAATTTTCAAAAAAGTTTAAATGTTACAATTCTATTGTATTGAACTGAAGGAATATTAGGAAATTGTTAAATATAAATTGTGCTTTTACAGTATAGGCCTATCTTGTCATTTGAAAAAGGTGGTAAAGGTTATATCTACCCCAAACCCACTCAAGTATGAGATACACCAGTTATGTACGGTCGGTTTTGGATACAGTGTTTATCCCGCGGGACATATGTGTATCTCCCTCGGTCCCTGCGGTCCCTCGTGAGATACACATACTTCCCTTGGGATAAACCCTGTATCCAAAACCTCCCAGTACATAACCCTTATATATCCCTATCTATTAAAGGGTAACGCATGACGTTTAGCAAATCGAACGCTCGTTCTTACTCACCATTCACTATTAAAGGCGCGCGCGATCTAGGAAAAAATACCTTAGGGTACACAGGTTGAGGACGATGTGTAGACGCTGTGTTATGGCTAAGGCTTAACTTGGATGGCGTTTTCTGTAAAATGATTAAGCTATGGATACCATGGTAACCGGAGTCAGTGGTGTGAGGCATAAACAAGTTTAATTGCTTCGTCACCAAGATTTGACAAAAAAACTTCCTTCCGATCAGAAACGTGTTAATTCTGACAACTTTGATCGTGAAAAAAAGAATGAGACTGTCATTTACCTTCCATATATTGTTAAACAAAAACAGACGTGTAACTATCTCCCTGCTTTGTTTTGTCAATCAAGAAACAAAGGCACGGTATCCGATAGAAATAAATGTAATATTTCTTTCAATTTTCCATAGTAGAGGCAATCTGCGAATGGTTTATTTTTCTGGTTCGGTTGTTAGCGCATGTGTGACTAAAATCGCCATCAAGGAGGATTGACAGCCAGAATGCTACCTACTAGTAGATATTTTACAACAAAGCTAGCGTCATTATTGACTGACATTATTATATCCAAGTAGTAATTCACAATAAGTAGTTTCTTATTTCGGGGTTCTTTATGATTTATTCACATGAAGATGTACGAGCTATGCATAGATGGGCTGGACTGTATCTAGGCAGAATTAAAAATAAAGCACAGAAAATTTATTTATGGAGTATATATTCTATAGGTCACCATCTCAGATAACCACAGGGCGTGATAATTTTGATCTTAACTTACAACAGGCAAATAACGGTAATTTTGACGGTGTTATAATAAATGGTGATTTCAATTTCAAATGTAAATCTCGGTATATTGGTGGAGATGAGAGGACATAAATGGAAGATTACTCAATGATATATTTTTTCAAAATGGATTTGACCAGTTAATTAAAGAACCAACAAAAACAACCAGTAATTCAGCAACATGCATTGATCTAACAGTAACAAATATCCCTGGTCTGATTAATCATGCAATTGTCACTGAACCAATTGGGTTATCGGAACACAGTACCATCATATCTCAGCTTGACATTCATATTCATAAAGGGGATCCAGAATACAAATTAATATGGAAATATAATCTTGCGAATAAAGAAGCCCTCAACTTTGATATATCACATTCTGATTGGATAAACTTTTTTAATGAAAATCATGACATCCATTCCATGACAAAAAAAGTCACAGATAAAATTCTTTCAATCTTTAAACGGCATATTCCTAATAAATTAAAACGAATTAAAGCTAATGATAAAGCCTGGTACTCTGATGAAATAGTCCATGTTTTGCAGCAAAAAAGAACACTTTATCGTTAATTGAAAACTAAAGTACTTTGTTAACATGTATCATTCCGTTTCACCTAAAGATGAACAGCCTCCCCATTTCCCCTCCAGATGTGATCTTAAACTTGAATCTGTTGAATTTGAATTACATGAGATCCTACTAATAATAAAAAAAACTTGATCCACCCAAAGCAAGTGGACCAGACGGAATCACAATTAAAATGATCCAAAATGCGCCCTGATTCAATTGTTGTCCCACTTTGTATTCTATTCAATAAGATTCTAGAAAAACATACTTTTCTTAAAGGGCACAGTAATGAAATTCAACTTTTAGCTATTCAAAATATTTTATGGACCAATTTTAGCAACTTCGACACTAGAGCAAATTTCCTTGACATTTCAGCTGCGTTCGACAAGGTTCCGCATAACTTGCTTATTCATAAACTTAAATCTTATGGAATCTCAGTAAATTTCTTAAAATGTATCGCATCATATTTAACTAATAGAAAGGTTAGGGTTGCTATTAACGGATCATCTTCTTCAGCATCACCAGACAACTATATAAACACCTCAGTCCCTCAAGGAAGTATCCTCGGAGCTTTGCTCTTCGTGATTTATATCAATGATCTTCCAGACAACCTGACCTCAAAATGTTTTATTTAAGCTGACGATACATCTATTTTTGTCCCATGTACTTCAAATGATAGAGAATCTCATAAACTGCTTCAAAATGACCTGAAGACCATTGAACAGTGGTCTAAATCTTGGAAGTTAAATTTCAAACCTGAAAAAAAGTAAAGAAGTCATTTTTCAAAGAAGAATACCCATAATTATGATGGTACTCATGTCAATGTCTCAGCCGTATTGGCCGTACGCCGACCGTAGTTGCTCGAAAACGATTAGGAACCTTTAAGGACCGGTGTGAAAGAAATTATGGTCCCCAAATGATTATGGTTCCCCTTCTTAACGGCCCTTCCTGGCCCCGATTGTGTATAGGATAAGAAGGGAAAGAGGTCACCATATAAATCAATGGAGAGTAGGACCATATTGTGATAGGACCCTTTTACACCAGTCCTGTAGAACATCTCCCATCTTCCGTCGCTGCACGGCGTATCTCCGTTTTTTTTTAATTAACCGTATGTCACCCTTGATATAACACGGAGTTATAAAGTTTGAAAAAATGCTGCAGCGTCACTGACCGTACTGTACCCGAACGGTCGACATCTGACCAACGTATTCTATGGTTCCCAAAACATACGGCCACCATAGTATTTCTAGTTGATAGACCGCATGGTCACCTAAGCAGATATGACTGAGGTATCCATATACATAAGCGTATTGACTAAATGAATATCAGACCCTCTTGAGACCTGGTGTTCTGTCTTACCCCGGAGTGTCCTTTATCACTCCAACTACCCCCAATCCATTAGCTACAATTCATTTCCATTTTATTTACTTCATAGTACCCCGGACAGGTTGTATGATGCAGTCGTTTTTTTACTCTATATTTGCAATAGAACAACCATTCTTTTTAACTTTTTCATATTTTATTCTGGAGACAATTTCCAACATGGAAAAAAAATATTTTAACGAAATTTCTAATTTTATGATTTTGATAGGCTTTTTTCAAAAACACTCCACTGTCAATAAAATACAGGTTTTGCTTGAACAATTTAACTTTTAACGTCATTTCAACGATTGTCTAGTTATTGAATTTTTGGCCGCCTAAAGTCTTTCCAGATAAATTTGATGCCATATTAATTATGGCTGATCATTTTATTCATTTTTGTCATATTCAATAGGCCTAATTTTATTACAGTGCATTAGGCCAATGAAAAATTTGTCACTCTGGGTCACGTTTCCTCTGAAAACGCACCTTTTGCTCCACTGGGTTTTTCCGCTACCGTCACTCAGCATGCAAGCCCGTGGCACATAAATTGTACCATGCTTTTAAGATGTCAGGTCTCCCTGACAATTTCGCGATTACATTTGACACAGCTATATTAATCTCTCTGAAGGATCTAATGCCAAGAATACTTGAAATTGGAGATTCGTAATGTTTTACTTCATTTTGGACAGTATTGAACAGTTCGATCGGGTTGAACTCATGTCCGTGGACAAGAAGATTGACCTCCTCTATCTGGGCTCAATCTAGGAAACGCTTCGCAAAACGAGACCCAGAGCAACAAGTTTTTAATGGCCTAATGCAATGTAATAATATTGAATATGACTCAAGTGAATAACAATAATCAGCCATAATTATTATTAATATGGCAACAGATATATCTGGAAAGACTTTAGGCGGCCGAAAATTCAATGCCAGGCAATATTTGAAATGACGTTAAAAGTTCAATTGTTCAAGCAAAAACTTGTATTTTATTGACAGTGTAGTGTTTTTGAAAAAAGCCCGTCAAAATCATAAAATTGGGAATTTCGTTAAAATTTTTTTTTTCCATGTTGGAAATTGTCTCCAGAATAAAATATGAAAATTTTAATAAGAATGGCTGTTCTATTGCAAATATAGAGTAAAAAACGACTGCATCATACAACCTGTCCGGGGTACTATATAACATACAATACGTTTATATTCCGAGTATTCATTTATTGCAGGATAGTCTTTAAAACACTTGAAATGTGTTAAAACGTTTTGCCCAGTCTCCCCCAATTATTTTTGAAAATGGAAATAAAGTATTAACTATTTAGATATTAAACACGGTGAAATCTTACCCTGCGCAAACGTGTTGATCTTGCAAAAGAAAGCGCCGAGCACCCATCCTTCACTCAAATCATCCACCAAGTGTACCCACGTGCAGCAAAGTGTCACTAAAATATCCGAGATTGCTAAGTTCACAATGTAATAATTTGTTGTTGTACGCATTCTGGCGTTTTTCCAAACAACAAATACAACGACGGAATTTCCTATAAGTGAAACCAACATTACGAGTGTCGTAACTGTCACCTTAACAACCATCTCCCAGATTGGGACTTTTGGTTTTAATTGACTGACTGGATACGTGAAAATACTAAAATCGTTAAAATCCAATTCCACTTCTGTTATGTTATCCATCGCCATTTTTGTTTTATATTATGTCTTAAATTGAAATAATTTGCGCCATTACATACTTTCCCGTATTTTTATTATAACATCACATGGTTAAGAAATTACTACATCTACCGTAACGGTTTTAGTGTTTTATATAATATCGCGTTATAATATCGTTCCGTCATCAAAAGATATGTTTCGGCATCGATCCAATAATTCTTCGCCTAATGATTCTTCTGAAGTCTACGAGTCATTAATGCGGATGGAGTCTTATTACGATTAAGTCGCATCTGTAATGCTCTATTCATTCCGCAAAACTGTTAACTCCAGACTCCAACACATACCAGCCAGTGTTATAATCACGTCTTCTTCCTCTGAATCATCTCATCCAATGTGATCCCCATTTGTTTTTTCATTTGTAACAAGAGCGCTTTGTAATTACTACAGTTTGCTAATACGACGCAGAGAAGGAAATCAAACTGTTAAGCTCACATTGTCTCATTCCGAAAAAAATACATAAAGATATGTATGTTTGGTATTATCATTAATAATTTTCATATTCTCATCTGTCCTTGCAAACAATACAATTCTCTGCATGTTTCCAGTTTCAATTATACTTATATATCGTCTTAGGATTTAGCGTCGAACCAATAATTAATGAGTTCTATCATTTATGATGTTTTCAGCTTTAAATTAAGTCGAGAGCTCAGCCAACACTGTTTATTAATTGCTTCTTAACGCACGAAATAAAAACCTATTAAACAGAAAGAGAAATAAAACTCCATACAACCGAAATGATTTCTATTATTTCTAAAATTAATAAAACAAAACTATATTACACTATTACCAGTAAAGAGGTTTGTATTTTACAGCTGCCTTCCCTTTTGGAGAAACGAAATGCCCATTACAAATAGTATAGGCATTCATAAATAACGACATGTTTTAGCCTTACAGCTGATTTTAGTTACAATATCATCTTGTAACTGGAAAGCGGATTTGAACACCATCCAAGCGACAATTGATCTTGTTAAGCATTCATAATCCGTATCAACTCTCGCATAGATTAAAACAAGTGGCAAAATATATCGTATGTTAAGTGAAGGAGGTTGCGGAGAAAGAGGTAACAAATCGGTCGTATCAATATCAGGGATACACGAAGCAGTATTCGCCGACAATAGGTTAGCTTCACTAAAAACAAGTTCAGTCGGGATATCGAACCAAGACAAGAGAGAAAAACATAAATATAAAAGGGTGGAGTGGTACGACGTGCAAGAAGATTATACGACAAACGGAAAGCATAGTGGAATTAAAACGTGGAAAATCAGCGGGACATGATCTAATCACAAACGAAATATCAAAATTAGCAAGTGCCTCCCTCGCCATTCCATTATCAAAACTTTTTAATTCGATTCTCACGTCTAAGACTTTTCCTTCAATATAGAAAGAGGGGGCTGTCTGTCCTACCCATAAAAAATGACAAATCTCTAATAAAAAATTATCGGCCCATCACTTTACTTTGTACAATTTTTTTGTTTTGAAATATAGTTAATGGTAAACTGATGACTCACTTAGTATCCCGGACAGGTTGGATGATGCAGTCGTGTTTTTATACTATATTTCCAAAAGAACAACCATTCTTATTGAAATGTTCATATTTTATTCTGGAGACAATTTCCAACATGGAAAAAAATTATTTTAACGAAATTCCTAATTTTATGATTTTAATAGGCTATTTTTCAAAAAGACGTCACTGTCAATGAAATAAAGGTTTTTGCTTGAACTTTTAACGTCATTTCAAAGATTGTCGAGCTATTGGAATTTTGGCTGCCTAAAGTCTTTCCAGATGTATTTGTTTTTGTTATATCTAAATGACGTATCGGATTACCTAAACTCCAAATGTTTAATTTACGAAGATGCCACATCACTTTAATATCCGGTTGACCCAAGAAATCACCAAACAAATAACCAAGTCCTGCAAGAAGACTTAATTCATATCCAAATGTAGAAATGCCCTTTCTGGGCGATAACGCCATGATTATGATGTTAATTTATTTATGATTTGTATTTATGATTAAAGAAATAAGAAAACGGAAGAAAATACATAAAAAGATACATAACATTCGTTATCATTATTACGTCAACACAAAATACTCGGACATGTGATCTCGTCGTCATCTGGTGTAATTACTACTCGTTTATCGTATTTCCAGGCTCTAAAATGTATTATTACGACAACACGAAATACTCGGATAGGTGATCTCCTCGTCATCTGGTGTAATTACTTCTCGTTTATCGTATTTTAAGACTCTAAAAACTTATTTAGCCTCTTATGTACTTAAAAGTATATAGTGATATTTTGTGCTCAACGTTTCTATACATTTACTTTAAGGATTCAAAAGTCGATATTATCGAAATAATATTCACGCTGGCGCATTGTGCGAGAATTCCAAATCGCCACACGAGAAGACCATGGACTTAAAAATAAAAACAGACTGCATCCATTTTCACAGAAAATATAGACTTAGAATAAGTCTAAGACCTTACAATTATCACTGTAAGGTCAAATGACCAGCCATGGTTCAATGATAATCTTAAACGTGAAATATCAAAAAAAGAAAGTATTTTATAAGAAATATTCAAAATCTCCTACTCAAGTAAACAAATTCAATTATAACCAACAAGCTTCTAAAGTTTCTCAACTAATTGAACAAGCCAAAGAGGCACATGAATTCAAAAATATCTCGTCAGTTGATCAACTCAAAAAAATCCGATAAAAACTATTGGAGATTACTTAAATCATTTCTTGGTAACAATTTACATAAACATGGTATTTCTAGTATTTATGGCGATGTCTCTGGGCATGATTTATCTAACAACCTTGATATAGAAAACCGATTTATGAGTCTCTTTGCCTCAAAAAAACATACCGATGCAACTTTTTATCAATTGCCTCAATTCCCAAATGAGGACTTATTCTCTACTCATTTCTACCCAGACCGATCAATTTGAGGTTATGACAATAATTTTGGCCTTAGACACCTCAAAGGCATGTGGCCCAGATAACACCAACAAAATGTTGAATTTGACAGCCCATACCATTTCAAAACCTTTAGCCGACTTATTCAACAAACTTTTAGCCAAGTGTACTTACCAGGATACCTGGAAAATTGGAAATGTTTGCTGAATTTTCAAGAAAAATGACAAATCAAACATTAACAATAGACCTAACACTCTTTTAAGCTGCATTTCTAAAGTATTTGAAAACATTTTAGCTGATCGAAGCAGGAGGCATTTAATTGATAATAACCTTCCTTTCAAACATCAGTCTGGATTCTTACCTGGTCATAGTACTATTCACCAACTTTTATCGATTGAAAACTTTCTTCAGAGTACGTTTGAACAAGGACAAGCATCTAAAACAATCTTTCTAGATATAGCGGCTGCATTTGACAGAGTACTACTTCATAAACTTTCAGCATACGGCTTCCAAGGGCAAATTCATAAAATTATCAAATCTAACCTTACTAACAGAAAAATTGCTGTACAGATATCTGGGGAAATTTCAAATTATTCAGAAAATGACTTTATCAATTGCAGTGTCCCCCAGGGCTCAATACTTGGGCCAATATTATTTCTCCTATACATTAATGACTTTCCAGACAATCTGGATGGGCATAGCTACATTTATGCGGATGATACTTCTCTACATCATCCGTTTGACCCTAAGCATCCACAAGAAGTACATGCAATAGTCAGATCAAACCTAATTAAAATTGAAACATGGTCTGACACATGGAAACTGGAGTTTAAACCCGAGAAGAGTTCTGAAATGATATTCCACTCATCCAGATCTAAAGTCAATATTGTTTCTGTTTCAAAGTTAAATAATGTTGAAATTACCAGAGATCGTGAGCACAAACATCTGGAATTTCCTTTTGGCCCAACCTTATCATATGACAAGCATATTGAAGAAATTATATCAAAAATTGGAAAGATTTTGAAGCCCTTAAAGAAACCTAATTATAAGCTAGGTAGCAAGCATTTTTTAATTTTACTAGGGAGCAAGAAATAGTTCCCAATAAAGTAAGAGCTGACCTATATTTTAAAGCCCAGTTTTACGCTCACAACATTCAGTCTATTGGCAGCCCTAATTAAACTTGTGGAAAGCCACAAACCCTGAAACATTTTATCTTTCAATGTGACTTACTTACTTTACAAAGACAGGAATTCAATGACAAACTTACTGAAGTAGAACCAAACATCTTCAGCCATAATCTCTCCCAAACTGATTTCATAGACTATCATATCTATATTGAAAATAGGAATTCCCAAACTAAACATAGACGTAAATTCTAAAATACTACTTAATTCTCATTGTTAATTTTATCAAAGACAATAGCTTATTCCCTCATTCATTGGTGATCCGCTCGATTTCGCTTTCGAAAATCACGGAACGTCGAAGGTACGATTTTTCTTTTTTCCTTGTTTCACGCATTGTAGGCAGAATCCCCAAAACGTTTTTTCTCACCAATGTGTATCAGTATCATATGTTTCATAAAATGTACATGTTTGCGAAACATAGCTCAGAAACAACAGAATCGTCGATTTAATTCCTCACTTAAGTTACATAAATGGTTTGGGTTAAAAGTGCAGATATTAACTGTCTTTCGAAATACCGTTTATGTAACTTAAATCGACGATTCTGTTGTCTTCTGAACTATTTGTTCGCAAATACGTGCATTTTCCTAAACATATGATACTGATTTTTGTGATAAAAATGTAGTGGGAATTCTGCCTACAACGTGTGAAATAAGAAAAAAATCGTACCTTCGATCTTCCGACATTTTTCGGTAACCAGCGTGATCGAGTGGATCACCAGTGTCCTTCATATCAATCTCTGCCATTTCTGCTTCCATCTGCCCCTTATTCTTATATAATGCCATTCTGGCGATTTAAAAATCTACATGTTTGTGTATTTATATTTGTATTTTCTAATGAAATAAATTTAAAAAAATAGACTTAGTATATGTTTTAGTTTTTTCATGTCAGACGTTTAATGTGTAATCGCTACCTGTTGTAGTTGAAAGAACACGATTTTTAATCTGAAACTTAAAACTACCACAGCTGGTTCATACGCCTTTGCAGTTTCATTAATTTTCCTAACATCTGATATTACAATATCTTATATTACAATATCTTGTGTTACATGAACGGGTACTTTTAGGGGAGAAATTGCAACATATTTTTGAGCATCTTTATGTTTATCTGCATCATTTTTTGTTTTGGTTTTGCCAGACTGTCATGTAATTCAATGCTAAAACTCAGATCTGTCTACAACTCGAATGGTAAATTAAGGGTTGACCCTGTTTATGTACATATTGTGATTAATCAGGGAAATGTTGGTTGTTGAACGAATAAACAAACATTTTCAATACTTTCAACATTACATCAATAGCGATTTGTCCCACACTTTTTAGGAAAGTTGAAGGCCATGAGAAGTTATTTGAATAACAAAACTGTATCAACCAAAAGTGTTATTGTGGAAGATGTTCGCTGAATCCAAATATGCTACTAAAAAGAAATAAAAAGACGCACGTTGTACAAGTTTCTTTCTACAGTGATGATAAACCCCTTAGTTTAGAGCAAGACATACGTGCTGTAAGCATGCTATCGGATAAAAGTGGTGATGTTCATACTTTTTATCTTGAAACAAAACAATAGATAGCGTTTGAGATTCAGCTGTAATAATTTCTTCGTGTGATAACGTAAGAGTTACTCAGTAAGTTACATATTAAGTGGATTTATTATATGCGCAGTAAAATTTTAGGAAGATAAGTTATTTAGATATATCCTGTATCCTGATTTTGAGGTTTCCATATCCTGAACCTCCATATCTCCCGCTCCAGGGCATATCTTTCCACTTCCGGTAATTGAAAACACAAAAATTAGAAAACTCAAATGGATATATGATCAATACCATATATGTATTATGTACGGTCGGTTATCCTTCTAGGATAGACGGCATTTGGATCACAATTATCTTGAAAAAAATAAACAAGTTGTTAAAGTTGACACAGTGACCCCGATTTGACCTATTTTTGGAAATACCAATATTCAGACAAGAGATTTAGTATATCAGAGGGGTTCCAGATGACCAACCCCCCCCCCACCCCCTTGCGACTTATAATTAGTGCAAGGGGCAAAAAAGGCAATAGGCAGTGTTGGAAGTTGTGACCAGTGTTCTACTATTCTGTAGTATCTTACGCTCTATTCTATGGTTTTGATTTTTTTAATTCATAAAGTTGGATCAGGATGGATAGAGATTTATTACGTTGCCACTTGTGTCACTCTCGATCTTTCTGACATCAAATACGCATCACTAGCAAATATTTCAGAATATTAGCATACTATTGAACGTGTTCCATTGAAAATAATGTCTGGGAAAAAATGGAATCAAATCATAAAGCGGTCACTTTTCGACATATGATTTAATAGATAATGGATGATTCTGTCAATGCTTTCTAAAGGCCAATGTAAAGCTAAATTAATCTGAGAACATTGAATTAGACTACTCAGCGCCAATATTGCCGAACAGCAAAAAATGAGACACTCTCATTTTCTATTGCTGTGAGATGAAGGTGTTGATTTTGAAAGCTATTGGGTCAATATAATCCGAATTTTCAACTTAATCTTAAAGGGTTTGATGTTTCAAAAGAAAATAATAAATTATGACTTATTAATCAAAGAAATGGGGGTAAAATGACCCCGCTTTTTCAAACAGGACTATTGCATTTATAAACTGGAATCATTGTTTTATTTTAGGTTAGCATCACCCGTCTAATCTCAGGCCAGATAAAAGGGCTAACGCTAGGTTAATATATCTTACTACTTTGAAAGATACCTGTTTATTATGTTACATTGATTCTACGACGTATGATCAAAAAGTCTTAGACGCCCCTAAAAATATCTAGTTGTGCAGTGGTTACATCGCGTTGAAATATTATTTATAGATAAATAATTACACATTCAGAAAAAAGAAACTGACAGAAAAGAAACTCCTATATTACAAATAAAGTTATATATCAATCTTTGAAGTAGGGTAGCTTAGGCAAAACGGGGGGGGGGTAAGGGAAGAATGGACACTCGGCTTTTCTCAAACGTTTCTCAAGTGAGGTGGAACTCTCTTTCAATAACGTCATAATAAGTCGTGTTGTCGGACATCTTCTTCAGATATCGCAGACACCAGAAACGTTTTGGCACAAATTATAAGATAGACTTCCTCCATTAATCAAATAACGTTCAATATATTGCCTATAGATCTATAGTTACCCGAAATGCTGTTTTTAACATCCCGTGTACATATTTCTCTTAAACAGATGTAACAAGACATTTACGTGACAACATGTCATCACCTTTTAAAGGTTATTGAAGGTCAACCAAAAGTTAAATCTCAAAACTAAAGGTCAGAGAGAACTAGTAGATGATTTTGAAAAATGGTAAATCCTAAGCAAGTTAAAACATAAATTTTTGACCTATTATGACCTACAGAAGGTCATTGAAGGTTAAATGACTTATCTCAAATCAAATTTGAACTTCTGAGAACCTGAAGATGATGTTGAAAAATATGTTTTTCAACATGAAGCAAGTTGAAAAAAATACCATTTTGACATTGTTACCTTGTAATCTCATTGAAGGTCAAATCTCAAATCTAAAGTCAGATTTGAACTTGATGATTTAACCTGAGGGTGATTAAATGGTCAATTTTGAGCAAGTCGATTGAAGGTCAAACCTCAAATCGTAGGTCAGATTTCGACATCCGAGAAGCTGCGTAGATTTGAAGAAAATGTGAAGCCAGTCTAAGCACTACTTGTTAAATTATTGGAAGTTAGAAGATTTTGCTAGAAGAATTTGCTACAAGAAACGTGTTAGAAGACGTCGACCGCCGTCCACAAAATATTGGAGGCCATCGCAGTACGTCTAAGCTTTGAACTTTTTGGTGGTGACATAAAAACCATTATAAAAGAAAACACCGCAATATTTTCTTCCTTTTTTGACTGCTCTGGGTACCCTCAACACGGGTTGCCATGGTTACCAAAGAACGCACAATATTAATGTCACATAGATTCATTTTATAGTAGTAATTAGTAGATCAACATTCTGTGAGAAAATGAGCTGGATTCATTAATATTTACAAACTTAGAGAATTTGTTATCTTATTTTATGATCCTCTTGTATCTCACCTAATGGTAATAAAAAAACAATAGGTACTTTTTCATATTGAATACTTTAGTTAAGTATTGACTAAATACCGCCGAAATAAGAGGGGCCCATCGTCTTGCATTGACTAGGCACGCCCCGTATTATTATGTTTAACCCTACTCCATTTATTACAAGAAAACCGAGCCTTGAAAAGCAAAATAAAAAATCAAGTTTCTTTAATTCTATTTATTCCAAAACAAAATTTTGATTACAGTTTCAATTGCATTTACAGTTCCAAGTGTGTACGCAACTTCTTAGGACAGTCTTGTCAAACATTAAGGTTCAGCTGGAAAATTACATTTGGGAAAATTGCTATACCTACACATGTTATTTTCTGGTACAAAATAAAGTATGAAGGCATATGTTAATTTCCTTGCTTTTTCAGAAAAATATCATTACATTGTCTTCTTTTAGTAAATCTGGTAAGAGTTCAATGGGAACTCCAGGATATTCTGATATTTCACGCTCTCCATTTATTCAAATTTTCTTTTGAAGTTTTCGGACAACACATGAGCTATCTGTTTCTAGGTTTCCTGAAAAAAGGAAGGAAATACACACATGCCTTCATACTTAATTTTGTTCTAGAAAATAACATGTGCAGGTATAGCCTTAAAACGTGTCCTGTATTGCCCCAGTCTCCCCTGTTTTGTGTAAGTGAAATACGTGTGTGTATTCATTTGAGATTTTATTTTGCAAATATTTCTGTTATGATTTGATATATTGCAGTGTATGTCTGCACTTTTTGTGAAATTGAGCTTAACATTTGACTTGTTGTATTAATTGGATCGAAAATAATTATTGTAACAATAATTTGTATTTGATCTGATAATTAGAGATACATTCACAGGACATGACGAACAGTCTCAGATGTTAGCGCAGTACAACAAATTAAAGTGAATGCGATCGTTTGATCTTGAATTCTGACTCGTGATTTGTTGATTACTTATTTCGCCTTGGACCTTTGTGAAATTGTGTCCCGAAGACGAATGGCGAATAAAAAAGTAAAAGCATAATAGGAAGTAATTGGGAAACAACACCTTACTTAGTTGGCTTCGAAGCATCCCAAATTGGCCACTCAATATCTACGAGCGGACAGAGCATTTGATTGAATTCATTTAGCGTTTTACAATAAGTTCTAGATAATGCTGATTTCTTTCGGGAATACATTCTTACTATTATTTCATAAGGTTTTATTACTGTCATTTCGACCCGCCATAAACATGTTGAGCAGTTTGTCGATACAGTAATATTGGAATTTTTCAGAGGCCTACCTCAGGAATGCAATTAACGTTTAGTAGGATCAAACTAAGTTCAAACCTGGGTGTACCTTAAAAGAGAATATACCAAGATATAATATCACAGTGCCCATGTCAATCTGCGCGTCTACTAGGCACGCAGTTTGAAACTCTGACAAACTGCGCGCATATTTCAAAAATGGAAGACGGGGGACACGACTCCCAAAAAGAGCCAAAATACGAAAAATACAAGGTTAGTCTAGTTCTTAAGTACCAATCTGTGAAGATGAACTTAATTTACTCATATTACTCAATGTTGTTCCCGATGTAAACCTAGTTATCTCAATATGTCTTATGTGTATGCTAGAATATATAGGATCACTCCGTCTGATTAAAGCAGCAAAGTTTGTGTTCAAAACGATAATACGTCATAAAAGTGTTGTGATTTAAACGTTTTTCCTGTCAAACTACATGCCTATATCCACATGTATTTCCCAAACTGCGTGCCTAATATTTCCAAACTACGTGTCTATCCAAACTTGTATTTTCAGAAAACGTTAGCAACACCCCCCCCCCCTCCCCCTTTACAAGAAGAAGTCCGCAAAACTTGCCAGATATGAGGATTATATGCCCAGAGATTCTCCTAAAGCTCCTGAAATAATGACACCCCCTCCATATTTTGACAAAACAATTTTAATAAATGCGCTGTTAAAAAAGAAAGACTAATAAAAAATACAAAAAAGGAAGCTATTTAAAAATACAAGATTTAATTTATATGATTTCAGTAAAAATTCAGATAAAGGTGTAGCATTGCATAATCCTCTTAGCACTTTCCTCCCATTCTTTCGAATTACATCCTTACTGTATCTTTTTTCAAAGGGCTCTTTTTCCATCAATTCCTATACCCTGATTTTCAGAACTGAGCCCATGTGTTCAGTGTGGTTGAAATCTGGGCTAATTCTTTCATATTCCACTTTCGTAAGATTTGACCTTTAACCAGTAACAGAGCAGCAAACAAAGTACCGAAGTAGCAAACTTTGAGACAATGTAGCTTTTTTAATATAAAGTTTTATTAAATGAAATTTGATGAGTAACTCCAAACTTAAATTATCTTTCAAATGAGGTATGACACAATATGTGACATTAAAGACTTTTTTCTGTAGAGGGGGGTGCCGTTGTTTTTGACACCCTGTAGTTTAGATAGTGTAATTTCTAGCTTAAATAGGCGCGCGGTTTGTGCTTTATTTCCTTTTTATCTCCCGATTTAAAGTACAAGATCGATTTGTGTATAAATTCCCTTTAAATCGGTGACGAAAATGCCATTAACGTTTTAAAACTTAGATTCAATTGCACATAGTTTTTGCTAGTTTTTACAAGATTCATATATTCGCCACAGAATGAACGCATTAAACAAGAAAACATTTCAATTAAAATTTCTTAAAATTAGGTTTCAATATACAGACTCCAACTTGACTGACGCGTGTTATTAGGCGCACAGTTTGTGATCGAAACAAACTGCGCGCCTAAGTCTGCGCGCAGATTGACATGGGCACCGTGAATATGCGTTGAGACGTTTATCGCTCTTTATTATATAGACAAAACTAATAATTATTTTCCAGAGACCTAACTTTAACTTTCTCTTTATTCTCAATACAACAAAGGGGAGAAATCGTGATCCCTAGAGGATCTACACGCTTACGTAAAAGTTCTCTTTAAAAACGTAACATATTCCCTAATTAAAGGATTATACCAAAACTGTAAAGGATCTTGTACACCTGCCATTATGATCTCCCCATGAACAAAAATAAATTCATCTGATTTTTCAAAATAAATATACTGCTTTTATTATTACATTTATCAAAAGTTTCAAAAATAATAGGCATTCTTTTTAAAGTAAGAAATAGATTATCAAGACATGCATTGCTAGACATTTACTATTCACTTGTTTACTCACATATTTCTTATTGCAATATCATATGGGGTAATGCCAATAAATCATTATTAACACCATTACTTAATCTCCAGAAAAAAATTGTAAGACTGATATGTAATGCAGATTACCAACAAACTAGTGCACCCCTATTTAGGGAATTGAAAATCTTAACAATTTTTGACATTCACAAGTTAGAGAAATCAAAATTTATGTATAATTGTGTTAAAGAACCATCAAATTTTCCTGCATATCTTTTCAAAAACTACTTTACATACATATATAATCACAATGTTGGAAATCGTATTACTAGACAGTTCCACAATATACACCCCTGTAAAATAAAAACTGAATTGACAAAAAGGTCAGTGGCATATTCTGGTGCCATTTTATGGAATGCTTTGCCAATAGTACTTCGAACATGTAAAACTTTGAATTCTTTTAAACATAACATTAAAAAGGACCTTTTGGAAAAGATGAATGAAAACATTACATAAAATCACATTTTGTTTATTTAATTATTTCTCTCAAGACTTCAAAGTTTCTGTATTGTATCTATTAATTGTATCTGTATTGTTATATGTTATATTATATGTAATTTTGGTTGCTCTGCAACACATTTTGAAATAAGCACTGATACGCCCAATTACTAAGGGTGTCGAGTGCACACGTTTTGTACTTTACATTGTTATATTATGAAATAAACTATAAACTATATATACACTATTATCTTGCTGACCTATATTCAGCACTGTATTGATGAATGGGCCACTTTTTAGGGCAATATTCAATCATAAAGTGTACAGGGGTAGAGATGCCAAACCAGGAAGTCTTTTTGTGTCTGTCAAAATCCATTTGCATCCTACACATCCCTACATCTTATCAAAATATGTTATTAATTAATGAATCATAACAGTATAATCTTTGGATTTACAAAGTTGTATGGGATTTCATAAGTGTAAAAGTTGCTTTTGAAGCATTTTTCTATAGCCATTTTGTAGGAAAAAAATGATGAAAAAAATGAATAATCTTTTAATTTGAAGTATGACCTGAATCGATTGCAAACTTTATATTTGCACATCTGATCTGAAATACCATTTGTGTCATATTGTGAAATTATTTAATTTGCAATCGATTCAGGTCATAGTGTATTTTAGGTATTTTTGTGAAAATCAATAGAAACCAATGGCCTCCATTGGAATCTGATGGTATCCACATGTTAAGTCAATAGAACACATCCAATGTCAAGTCAATACACCCTTGCTGAACTTAATGACCCCAACCTCAGCCCATGTGGGGCCAAACGCTTAAATATTTTCCAAAGTATTATGTAACATTGTATTCTTTATATAACACCTAAAAATGATTCATTTTGTTCATGGGGAGATCATAATGGCAGGTGTACAAGATCCTTTGAGGTTCCTGTGTTACCCCCCCCCCCCCTTCCTCGCCCCCTTTCATTTCAGGACCATGGGCTCATTTTGGAACCATTATTTTTATTTATATCTATCTATTACAAAACTTACTGTAAAAACACGGTATTTTATGTAATGTTGACTGGTTGACAACAATTTAATGCGAAAATTATTTAGAAATGTTTTATATAACTGTTTCTGTTAACATGTTTTGTTTTTTAGTAAAATTGTTTTTGCTCCTTTCTACCAATTCTTGAGAATGAAATAATATGTCTTTCCGAACCTTGTTGGAACAAAATAGCATATACAATATGTTTTTAGACCTCTCAATATAATAGTTATACAAAAGAATTTTTGGTTTATTTAAAAAAAATTAAAACAAAATCCCCCCAAAATAGATAAAAATCAATATAAACCTTATATTTCATTAACAAAATGCTTTTTTAAAATTAACCAAAATGTCCTTTGTACAATTACAATATTGAGAGACCTAAACATGTTGTGTTTATGTCGTTTTGTTACAATGAGGTTCGGAAAGATGTTTCATTTCACTCTGGAAACATGATACCAAGAACAAAACAAGTGTTTTCTAAAACAATATAGATGAAAGTATATATATTATATTTTTCAAATTATATTGTTACCATCCAAAAGATGACCATTTGATTGACGATGTGTTAAATTTTTAGATTGTTTATTTTAAGAGAAACGTGTGTTCAAAAAGTTCTCCATATCGATATCACTCCTTTTGACAAGATGTTGAAATGTGACAATCATTTTTAAAATTTGTATTTAAGTGATAAAATTTAAAGCATAGGTTCTGGGCTATAGGTAATTTGCAGTTTTCCCTAAAAACCGCTCTTACAAACCGTCACCAGGCCAACATTTTCCTCTTATATTCACGTAGGAAAGGGGCTAATCAAATTATCAATTGGCCGATGGATTATTTCTGAATGTTAAATCATGTCCAATTAGGGCGATAATAGCCATATGTTGACAGTGTTCCCAGGGGACTGCATTATTTACATGTTAATGCACTAGTACAACCAAAGATTCTATGCACGGGTTAAGTTAGAGTCACGATCATATCAAGAAAAGTAAACCAATGACGCAAGGAAGTGTTTGTACAGTTTGGTTTGTTCGGATCGAAACATAGATTATCCAATTGGATGATAGATCATGATCCTATGATAATGTGTCCATAATTAAGTAAGAAAGATTTATTTTTCCTACAACTCTGAGTTTGGTTTTGGCCTGCCACTATCTAGAACAAACGTAAAGTGGAAGGTGACGATTGCAAATTAGTTTGGCCAGCGCTTCAATAGACTACTCGCTCGTAATATCTCAACAGATTAGCAAAATGATTCAACGCATCTATACAGCGCGCATGAAAAAATATATCTGCATTTCGGAACAAAGAGGCGACGTATGGAGTTAACAAAGTCGCATATCATGGCGACGACATTGTCAACGGTATCCGAGATGATATCCGAAAATGCGACAATTTTCGCAACAACCGTTGTAAGCGCGGTTGAAATGAACAACACGACAACATCAAAAATTGATGATTATAAAAACATAGTAAATTTCAACAATACTGGAATAAATACGACGAACATGACAACAGACGTACTAAACAATTTTATACAATCCATAGATGACCCTCTTCCTGATTTCAGTTATGAGGACTATAATTATTTAAATGAAATGAAAAAAGTTGGGCATTTGGAAATGGCACTTAAAGTATTCTTCTATTCTATTATCATATGTCTGGCGCTTGTCGGAAACACTCTAGTTATCTTCATAGTATGGAGAAGCAAATCAATGCGAACGACTACGAACTACTACATCGTGAATCTAGCGGTGTCTGACATTTTGGTTACGCTCTGTTGCTCGTGGGTTCACCTTGTTGATGACCTATCAGAGGGATGGGTGCTTGGACCAATCTTTTGTAAGATCAACTCGTTTGCGCAAGGTACCCTTAAACTTATATTATATACCATAAAATCGTATATGTAATTGCACTAATTCTGATCAAAAGAAATCTTTCATGTGTATTAATTTAGTTGCTTTTTGGTATGCCAATCATGATATTGAGTATCATCATTGAGGTCCATGACCTAGTACCCGAAGTAGAAGTCACATTTGTTGAAAATTAAATTTCCAAAGTTGATGAATACTTTTTAAAACCACATTTCGAGATGTAATATTACAGGTAGATGTTCGATCGATGTTCGATCCTGGGAGCCAATCCTCTTTGATCTACAGCGTTCTTATCAATGATATTACTCTATGTACATACAAAGCTGGCTACACTCCAATTCACAACTGTCACAATAGATAACCTGTGAATTGCAAATGAAATTAACATTCATGTTCGTTCTTCCTATGTATTATATTGAGCTAACAAAAGCTGTATGTCCAGGAAAGTAATAAATTATATTGTGTGACCTACATTGTTTGTAATTCTAAAAGTAGGTCACTGGATTGTTATAGAAAACTATTAAACCACAATTAATGCTCTAGGAACATTCATGTACTCTTTGTGCAAGCCTGAAAGATGTAGACAATATATGAAATTAGTTCACCTAAAAATAAAAATGAATTCCAATAAATAAATAATTAAAACGTTTGAACATAAGGAACTACCTAAGCAGAAGAGGAGTGACGTTTTATGTGATAAGATTAGTAATGTTAAATTTAGTGTCCGTTAAGTGGCTAAATGTCGGTTTACTGTATAGCGTCTGCCGCATCCGGTGTCATCTACATGTAATGTATGCTGCCATCATACAACTTCCTTCTAAGCAATTTTGGCCCCCCGGTTCTTTTGTGGCCTTAATACAGTTAAACGCATGACGTTTTATATCGATTATGTATTTATTAGTTAATGCAGACTTCCATTTTTGATAACATGAACGAGAATGCTTCTTCATCTGTCCCGATTAAATGGAAAACTGAGGCTGTATATTAAAGTTTACGATATTAATGAAATATCCAGTCTATGTGTCATTGAATGATGCATGTTCAAGAAAAATTAGATATGTGTTACAAAAAAAATCCAATATAATGTTTGCCTTGCCAAATATGTTATTGACACTAAGGCTGTCGCCCTCGGTCGATGTGATATTTTGGTCTTAGGCAAATATCATATTTTCCCTCGAAATAAAACTCATATGTCATCCCTTCTTAAATAACCTCTATTTATTTTTTGGTCACGTGTATGATATAGACCAATAAGCGAGTGGGGAATATGACAGTGGAACAATAATAGATATTATCAATTTTCAATCGAAACATCACATATATTCAACATATGTTCAAAAAGATGCCCTAGCTATATATATTTTCACAACCATTCCGTAGGCGATAGCTTATAATATCAGCGATAAAGGTACTATCTAATAGTTCATATAATCCATTTGATAACAATAAGTAAGGTTAATGACGAATCCGTAAGTGAGTTAATTGCTACTGACATTACGAATAATCTATTTAAATGGCGGATGTTTCTGGAGAATGCAATGTCATCAGCTCTCAATGAAAATCCCATTGGGACAAAAAGAACGTTTTCGTGAACAATATATCGACACTTATTAATATTAGAATCACTCATAATCCAACAGCAATTTACTTTTACTGTATATACTTAAACACAAAGAAAACTTTTGAGTGGGTCGCAAATTGTATCTCACGTGGATCTACTAATAGTCACACAATAGAAGTTCGATCCATTTAGCATGTTGAACTTAACAAACGTTTTGTTTTTGTATTGAGTCTAATGTCTGCAACCTTTTTAGAACACTCAGTCTAAAGGAGGGGGACATTTGCAATCCCCTCTGCGACTTTTTATGCAAGTACCTCTTCGGAAAATAATATTTTGAAAAATAGGTCAAATCGAGGTCAACGTGACCTAGGGGTTACATTTTGTGAGAAATTGTTAATTTTCTTTCAAAATAATTTATTTGTGCCAAAAATGCTATATTTTCAAAAAGAATTATCTATTGTCTTTCAATAAAATAAAAATCAAAGTAAAGGCTTTTCTTGAACTTGTTTTTGTCTTCAACATTCATATTTCAAGATGTACAAGAAATACCAATGAGTGAATAGGTAAATAAATGTATAAATACTTGACTTGGTATTATTCGAACATAAATTTCGGTCAATGATTCTACCTTTTTACATTATTAGAAAAACGGTAACTATCTATATTTCATGAATTTCATTTTTTGGCTTCAACTTCCGACTATCATAACTTTGACTCTTGGTCACAACTCATCTTGATTTTTACTCCAACAAGTGTCGTTTATCTGGAACTCTAGGTAAAAAATAACGGAGCCACAGACAAACTTGCAAAAAATACTATCGAAAAAATCGAGGGGTTAAATTGCCAGCCCCCCCCCCACACTCTGTTTCCCACCTTGACACTTCTCATCACAGATTATACACAGCTATTTGATTAATGAACCATTTTCTGTAAAATAAGACAGAACATTCCAATTAAATGATAAATTGCTTCTCGTGTATTTCAGCGTGTCAATATTTGCTAAATATTCGTTCAAAATGACAATCCCATGAATATTATTTCGAACCTTTTTTATTTTCAATTTTAGTATTTCCAGAAAAAAGAAAAAAGCTGACAGCTCGTCGAAAATAAATGCGCTGAAATGAGTAATTCGTTCTTAATGTAAGACGGAATTGAATACAAATACGAATTAATCAAAATTAATAGGCTTTGGCATAGTTCCTTGAAGAGATAGGATTAAAGAGCCTGCTTCAACAGGTTTTGAGAAAACGTATCAATTCAAACTTGCAATATTGTCACAGTCCAAATTACGTTAGTTCGTATTCTCTTAACGACCGGTACGAAAACACGAGCGCCTAGACTGTAAATAGCAATCGAGGAAGAATTGTCTGAATACGTTAATCTTCTTAAACCAACTCACACTTGTCCGTTTCTAAATCATAACTATGTCTTTCCTTATCATTCGATATAAAGAGGAACATAACTGTCTACCATGTGTATGCTAGAACATGTCCTACCCCAACCGTGTACATCTGACATGCAATCAGACTACACGCGTAGTCAGATTTTCATGCAAAAAGAAAAAGTGCTATCTAGAACGGGATTTTAGAGATGGGAAGGCACGTTAATTAAATTAAACCTTGGGATACCTCGATCCCAATCCTGAATAAGGAGTTTGTTAGCCGGTGTTAATATTTCAAAACTTTTGAAACGTTTTTGCGCTTTTACGTAAACATTAAATAATGAATAAACAAATCGGTTTTGGACATCAAAATGGCTTAAACATTGTTAATATATCCAGTTAAGAATAAGTGTGTTATTCAGAGATGAAATTGAAATTAGAGAAATAGGTTTTTATAATGCTTAGAATTTCACACATGGGCAACCTTCGCTATTACTTCTATTCTTCGTGGATTATTATCTCTAATTCAGTTTTATTGTCTTTCTTTCACTTTACATATTTAACCTGTTCGGGAAGTCTTATTTATTTCCAATCTCGGCCAGGTGTCAAGCTCTATTACTGATTGCACCCATGATAGACTGAGCCTGCAGAAAACAATCGGTGTGGATAATATGAGCGTTCGGTGCGGAAAACGGTTGTTTGTTTTTGAATTCGTGATATTTTAAACAGAGCCGTGTTAGATCTCTTCTCATATCCATATATGTGTGCACATATTGGACAACATATATCCAAGAAATTGTAAAAATTGTATAATGTTTGCTTTTCGAAACTGTCATTGCTATGCATGGTTCTCAGTCTTCATACGGTATTGGTCATTAAGATACAAATTTATTTTTTTGCATCTTAATTCAAAAAGATTTGAATGGGAGATGGAGGTAGCAGTGATATTGACATTTTGTTATTTCTTTCATTTTCTGATGTAATGTGGAATAAAATAATTGAAATAAAACACAAACTATACAAACTGAAATAGAAAAATCTTGTGTAATATTTTGATAAATTATTATGAATTGTCCAGACGTGAACTACTCCTGAACATACAATGTGGATACGTTTATTAAACCGAGTACATCATAGCATGGACATTTGAAAATTGACTAATTTTTCCTTCACCTCATCATCTCCATAATTATGAATGTTTTTCGTAAAAAGACTCATCTTTCTAGTTATCGTCGACCTAATTCCATAACATATCAAATTCAGTTTGTTTCTAGCATTATAAGCCATTTCGACAAAGTCCTCGATGAAAAGACACACTTGGGAAACATTTCAATGTTAGTGAAATTTACAATAATGTAAGAAGATTTACAATAGAAGGGATGCTCTTCAGCAAAACACAGGGGAGTTAAATCGATATATGTAAAACATGTATTTGTTTAAAATAAAATGTAAAATGTTTTTCATTGAACTTGTGACAAAGCTATCGCAATTTTCAAAAATCATTCTGTTTAAAATCATTCTTGTATTTTCTGAACCTTAGAACGTCCTGATGATCCCATTATGAGTGTATGATTCGTGAGTCTATGATTTCACGAGATGAAGACATAATCTTTACATGTCACCACCAAAAAGTGCGGACGTATTGTGATGGGCTCCGTTTTTTGTGACGGCGAGTGGCAGCTTGCTTCAAATAGACCAATTTTTTCAAAATCATCTACAATTTCTCAGAAGCTCAAATCTGACTTAAGGTTTGAGATTTGACCTTCAGTGACCTTCTCGAGATCAGGAAAGGTCAAAAGGTATTTTTTCAAATTGACCAATTTTTCAAAATCATTTACAAGTTTTCAAAAGTTCAGATCTGACTTTAAATTTAAAATTTGACCTTCTCAACGTCAAAAATGGTCAACATTTTTTCATCTTGCTTCAAATTGACATTTTTTCAAAATCACATACAAGTTGTCAGGAGATCAAATCTAACTTTAGATTTGAGATTTGAACTTCAATGACCTTCAGCATGCTTCAAATTGACCACATTTTTCAAATCATCTAC